GTGTTTCCCTGTTCATTTTGAAGGAATTCGCTGGGTTGACTTTGTCAGTGGGTTTGAACACGTGTATCAGTTACCCTTCTAATCTTCTCTGTTTAAGATGAAAAAGTTTCTGTTCCTCTGGCCTGTCACCAGACAAACCTTTAAGTCCTGAATTGCATCTGATTGCTCTTGTAACTGAAGCGCAAAAGTGCGATTAGATGGCAACAGAAAAGAAAATTAGAGCAGAGTTTTAGGATCCTTCTCCTTAGTTTTGTCTGCTACACATTCTTGTTCTCTCCTATGTGATGTCCTCCTCATCGTCCTCACCGTGTTGTGTGAGATGCTCATTTTGTTTTTGGTTGTCTAGGCAAGTTTTCATGCTTCTGCTAAAGGTTTTATCAGACTGATACTGGAATATTTTTTATTATTGACCGCTTGGAGTATTAAGTGGGAGTTAAAGCAGGGGGATGAGTTAGGAGGGGAACATGAGTACTGGTCTAGTTGAGTGAGAGGAGAAACATTGAATGGACCCTTTTAATTGCCTGTAGTTGGACTAAAGCTCAGTTCCAAAGTTGTTTGTGATTTTAAAGAAACCAGGCTTTTGGATGGCACATCTCGTCAATCTTCACAGGAAAGGATTTTTTAGATGCCGTAACGTGCACGGTTGTATTATGGTGCTGTCGTTTTAAATCTTGAATTGCTGTTTTTGTGACCTCTCATAGTAGCGTTCTGCTCTGGGGTACTGCTGCCACCTACTGGTCACAAGGCATTTTACAGCCTCCTTGCTCGGTGCAGCTAAGTAGCCAGTGCGAAAGGTACCTTAGGTTTTGTGCTTCGGTGAAAGAGGTTAACAAGGAAGGATGAATTAAGCTTTAAATGCAGTTGTTGCCCAGCTGCTGAAACCCAATATTGAGACTGAAAGTAAATATTTTAGTAATCATTAAGTAAAATTGCAGCTACTTCAATCTCAGTATAAAAGATTCTTTAACTTGAAAGTATGAGCCTTCAAAACCTTAAACCCTTTTCAGAAAGAGTTGTTTGTGTACTGAAAGGAGCTACATATTCTAGCGTAGTGTCAGCCCTTTGTTCT